CGTGGTGGAGATTTTGCATGTACCATGGCGCTGGCCGATTAAGAACCTTTGGTATATCAGTGACAACACAAAACAAACCACGGAGGTTGGGAGAGAGAGGATTTCCACACAAATATAAATGAACAACAATCCATTACTAACATTATTTTTTTTATTTTTTTTTTAATCTTAGGCTTTTAACTGAAAGTTAAGAGGGCGGAGACAGAGAGTCAGTGAAGCATGTACCCGTGCCTTGGAAGATAAAATAAATCCGAAAAGAGTAAAAGAGCGGTCGTCTCTATATTATTGAAATTTAATGATTTGCTATGGGAAATGTATTCTACATAGTAACAATGGGAATAGCCGCGGAAAACCCAAGTGAATAATTGCTTGAGATTCTCTGTAAAAGGTTCTGCCTCTAGGTGGCGCAGCGATCTGTTGGTGCTCACTGGGTTTGGCCACTGCCCGAAGTTGAAGAACCTGGCGGCAAACGCCGAAGTCCGAATGAATCCCTGGACAAGGGGTTTATGAGACGCAAATCCTAGAGTCCTGTGGGATGGAAGCTGCTGTCCTTGCACTCTGTCCCATGGCTGGCACAATCATTACCATTAACCCAGGTATTCTGAGGTATGGGTGACCTTCTAAACTACATACGTTGTTGGTGGGGAACAGGGTGGCATGTGAAATTACTACTGATTAGGTGGCGCAGGGGAATCCTGGCTTGAGGGGGCGACCCTTTTTTAACCGTTCACAAACGACAGGCCGGCGCGAGGTGAACAAGTGACTGACGGGGATACAAATGTGGCTAAGGGATCACCATGCCCAAACCGTGGTGGTCTTATAGCTGAATGTTTGTGACTTAAGAAAGAAGACACAGAAAATAACAAAACTAATCCACGAACGAGAAGTGGACGCAGCTTTATTCCGAGAAACGATGCGCATGGCAAGCCGCTCCATATTGGGGTTCTTCGCTTATAAAAATGCAATAGAAGAACAAGATATGTGAAAGCTTGAATCAAAAGACAGGACAATATGACGTGAACGTTTCGGCTTAGAGCCTTCTTTAGCAAACAGGACAAATGAAAATGCGAAAAGAAACAGAGCTCAGTAAAAAAAAATAAAAAATAAAAAACTTGAGAGATCTACTTTGTTGTTGCCGGAAGTGTGCCTAGATCAGTTTGTTTTCCAGAAACTTTCCGGCAACAACAGAGATCTCTAAAGACTCCCCCTGGACTCTAGAATTTGCGTCTCCCAAACCCCTTATCCAGGGATTCATTCTAACTTCGCCTGTGTGTTGACCTTATTTTGTTTCAACGTAGTTCTAAAGTTGTTGTTGTTGCTTTTTACATTTTATTTTGACATCACCCATTAAATGTGCAGCGCTATACTAATTTCCCAGCCCTCCAGTGAATGGGAAAAAGTTGTTTACGTTGAAATGCCTTCTAATTTGTTCTAAATAATGACATCGGATGAATGATCCAATATCTCGAATATATTTTCTGGCGGGGTTTCAAGCCCCTCGCTGTAAGTGAGCCGGCACTTTTTCCATCCGGGAAATAATTTTTTTTTTTTTTCTAACATTCCTAGACAATTAAGAGACGTTGTATACACAGAGGAGCCTTACACGATCGTACTCTTTGTGGGTGTTTATTTATTCACATTGCTATCTTCCGAGGTTTATAGTTTTCATTTGCTGTGCTGTAAGTTAATATAGTTTTTTATTTCTGTATATTTCATTTTGAAATTTATTTACAGTATTTCAACAGTATGATTCAATTGAATATCGTTAGTAGCACAAGCCTTTGCGTCGTTTTTCTGTGTAAACTGGTTTTTAATCCTTTGTTTTGAATTGTTCATCAAACGGGCCTAATATTAAAACTGTTTAAATTTGCAAAACCACATAACGGTACATAAAACTTCCATTTTCAGGAAAGGGAAGAATGATTTTAAACAGGAAGTGAATTTAACCCTACGTGGGGGTAAGGGCTAAAATGAAATTATAGGACACCGACGTATTTGGGCGTGAAGCTGGACCAGAAAGTCGAGCACAGTGGACAAAATAGAACAAACTTCGATGCACAACTCGAAGCAATTCTGACAGGAACGTCATTTCAGGGTTTTTTGTGCGGGGGAACCAAAATTTCCCGGCTGCTTTTTTGAGTTGTTTATTACTGGAGTTCAGGACATGGCAATTTAAATAAAACCAAATGAAGTTCCTGCATTCTGGCCGTCCTGAAGCAAGTGTGCTGTCCCTGTATTCTGGCCGCCCTGAAACAAGTGTGCTGTCCCTGTATTCTGGCCGCCCTGAAACTAGTGTGCTGTCCCTGTATTCTGGCCACCCTGAAACAAGTGTGCTGACCCTGTATTCTGGCCGCCCTGAAACAAGTGTGCTGTCCCTGCATTCTGGCCGCCCTGAAACAAGTGTGCTGTCCTTGCATTCTGGCCGTCCTGAAACAAGTGAGCTGGAGACCAGCGCAGAGCCTCCCGACCATTGTAGCCTTCAGCAAAAAACACTTTGCTCTCGAAACTGTGGGAAGGAGCTGGATGGAGTAAAAAATGGTCAACGCCATTTCTGAGAAAGTAGACGACATCCATGTACGTCCCGTTGGTCCCTTGTCACGTTGAGGTGACGCAGAACTAAAAGGCAGATACCCTTGCGCCCAGAAGCTGCCGCCCAGCCACAACGCGACCGACCCATGACTCAAGTTAAGAGTCAAAGCCTGGCTCAAAGTGCACTTTCGAGAAGCGTTGTTCAACGGCTGGGCGACATGTGACACGTTACGTGAGCTCTACCTCAACGTGCCGTTACCGAGTCAGAGCGACCCGTGGTGGAAACTAGCACGTAAAAAAACCCCAAAAAAACCAACTCATCCCACATGTGAGAACAGGACACCTAGCTATCTACATAGACTCAACTCGCGGAGGGATCCAATCTGCCGACTCTGTAACCCGGCCATTGAAACATTCGACACCTCATTGCTTAGTGCCCAGATGCCGATGGTGGGGGTTTGGCAATTGTGTCAAGCCGTGGGGGTTGGGCAGGTCAAACCGTGGGGGATTGACAGGTCAAACCGTGGGGGGGGGGGGGGATGGACGGGCCAAAGGGGGGGGGGGGGGGGGGAGGGGTGGGCAGGTTACAACCCCGGAAACGTGTGTTAAGTGTTTAATTTATGGTGACGCCCGTTTGATGAGGCTCGCCTGTGATGTGCTGGCCAAGGCTATACGAGTTTAGACTCACCCCTACAAAGGAATCAATCATAATATAAAGTGACTACACAAAATAGGCCTACCTCAGAACCATTTGAGCACCATAAAATAGGCCTTTAAAAACTCAAAATCTATCAGGCCTATTAAAACAAAAAATATAACTGGCCTTTAAAAACTCAAAATCTATGAGGCCCATAAAAACACAAAATAACTTAGGTATATAATTTCAAGCTAATTTAAGGCCACATAAGCTCAAAATAAGTGGAGGTCTATAATATTAACACAAAAGAAATATTTTAAAAGAGAAATTATATGTTTCAAATCCTTTTTTTATTTCGCGTGCACATTTCGTTTAGTCACATTAAAACCTACGCCACTATACTAGAGTTGGTACGGAAGCAAGGGCTGGCAACCTGTTTTGAGTGAAAAGCTAGTTAAAAAATAATATATATAAAATAAATATTTGGTGGTCCGCATTGGGCTTATCCATAAATGACGTCACGCATTTTAAATAAATTCCACCCCCCCCCTCTATTTCCCCCATCGTAACAGCTTTGTCAAAAAAAAAAAATTGAATGACGTCACGCATTTTAAATAAATTCCACCCCCCCCCCTCTATTTCCCCCATCGTAACAGCTTTGTCAAAAAAAAAAAATTGACGCGCCTAAAGCACATTGTCACATATTCGCGTGTTTCATTGAGTTTCATATTATTAAATTACCTGCTTGCAGCTATCGTCCTCTTGACACTGGTCGTCCCCGTTGTTTCATTTAAAAATCTGCCCCGAGCCTTTTTCACACCGACATGTCTTCCGTACACAAACACATTCGTTTTTACGACACGGTTGTCCTTTGTGTCCACTTGTATCCGTCATGCTATCATCGCGTACCATTTGAAACCCTACTACCAACGTATGCCATTTGTATCCCTTGTTACATGATGCCCTATGTAGCACTGATTACATCATGTCCTTTGTAGCACTGATTACATCATGCCCTTTGTAGCACTAGTTACATCATGCCCTTTGTAGCACTGTTTACATCATGCCCTTTGTAGCACTGTTTACATCATGCCCTTTGTAGCACTGTTTACATCATGCCCTTTGTAGCACTGTTTACATCATGCCCTTTGTAGCACTGCTCACACACTGGCCTCCTGGTTACATCATTTTTGCCTTTGTGTTTTTCGTGACATCATTTTACTTTGTGTCATCGTGAAATCAGATGCCCTTTAAGCATTGTGCTGCTAAAACAATTTCCCTCAACAATTAGTGGGCAATCTGTTTCATCATAACACTACTTCAGTGGTTTTCAACCAGTGTGTGCATTGACACACCGAACCACTGTGTGCATTGACACACCTGTGTATTTACACACCACACAGTGTATTAACACTCCACTTGAGGTAGGAGACCATTAACTATCTCCTTCACACAGCTTGAACTAGCCCTTAATTTATTAACTCTTTACACAATACACATAAGTATATATTGACACTAAATACAGTCTTTTTTATGCTTCCAAAATAAACTATCATAAATATAAAGCTTCAATTCACAAAATGAAATGATGTGGCGGAGCAATGCATCTCCAATGGGTGTGGTCAAATATGGACATTGGCTGTTGATCAGCTGAGGGGACAAACTAGATAAGGAGGTGAGGAGCAGTTAAGGGAATTCATTGATTTTTATCAGATTTAGACAGAGAGATGTTTCCCTTCTCAGAAAAAACAAATTTTTTTTTAAAAATAACACTTTGGTGTTTCAATGTGGGAAGGATATTCAAAATAATTGTAACAATGAAAAAAGATTAATTTTCTTTTTCAGGATTATACAAAAATCCATTTAATGAACATCTAAATTACCATGACAAGACAATTAAACAATTGCAGTCCTCCATTAGGTTTTAAAATATCAAACACATATAAAATATATGCACATAATTTATCAATTCAGTAACATATTTTAGCAACCCAGAAAACATCCTTGTAATAATATCACATAATAAACATCATAATGGCTAAATATGAAAGTATGAGCCCCAACCCCCTCAGTATTTTGAATTACCAGTATAATATTTACTGAAACAATTAATGCCATATTTCATTTTATAAAGAGAGAGAAAATATTGTTTTGTGAAACAGTTCTCCCTGACAATTATTTGTTCTGGCTTTGGCCAAAGTTGAGAATGCTGCAAATCAAAGTCACACAATATGACTGAGCTCTGCTGGATTTAGAGGTTTAGTGTTTTTGGCCAAAGTTTAGAATGCTGCAAATCAAAGTCACGCAATATGACTGAGCTCTGCTGGATTTAGAGGTTTAGTGTTTTTGGCCAAAGTTGAGAATGCTGCAAATCAAAGTCACGCAATATGACTGAGCCCTGCTGGATTTAGAGGTTTAGTGTTTTTGGCCAAAGTTGAGAATGCTGCAAATCAAAGTCACACAATATGACTGAGCCCTGTTGGATTTAGAAGTTTAGTGGTTTTTTTTATTATCTGCTGCCAGTCCCCGTATAAAACCGCTACAATTCATATGAGCATAAAATCTGGCTTCAGTCCATTCATTTTGCTGTTAAATACAGAGAAACCTCAGATTCCCTGGTAAAAATTAGGTTACAGGCTTAAAAAGTTAATCACAAGATCTACGTTTTCCTTTGATATATTGTCATAGAAAAGCATAAAAGCTTCGTTTAAATGTTTGAACCCATCAAATTACATTAAAATTCACCAAGTTTTGGACAAAGACAGCACATATAATGTCAGGTCTGAGAATCAAATAACCTGAAAAATAACTCTGACAAATCATACATTCAAACTCTGGGTTGAAAAGCTGATATTGATATTAATGGATACAAGTATATTGATGTTAACTTTTTTATTTGACAGGGTAATTTTTTTCAGTCATGCTGATAGAGAAAATCTTTGTACATTCATTATGTATAAAGTCAGTTGTGTCATCATAAATTAGAAGTATTGGGCTGACAAGGCAGTGTGAATCAAAATGCAGAAAGGGCACCAGCACAGGGTGCTAATAATTCCAAAATTACTAATATATCAAACTAAAACATTAAGCTCCACATTGTCGTGTCATGCTCATATCATTATGTTAAGTGTTACTTATATTTTACTATACAGATTTAATGTATAGGTAAAACAGTGTCCCAAAAAAATGCTCCTGCTGCTTATATACTTGCCAAGAAAAACCTGCCATGTTGACATGAGTTCATATTTGCTTTCATTTTTTTCAAAATAAAGTTCAGTAAAAGGAAAACAAATAACATTTGTGTTAATGACTCAGTGGTGTCACAATAAAGCATTTATTTTACAGTGTACAATTAACACAGATTCATTTTGTTTGGGATCCATAACCAATCAAGATATCATAAAAAGGGAAAAATATGGCTTGATTACCAAAAATTAATAACTGCTCCTAATAAAAATTTATTAATTTTAATTATTTTAAAGTTTGATTATTTTTTTGTATGGGTCTTTTATTTTTGTACAGTGTTTTTCGGAGTCTGTGAACAAGGTTTTTGACTCCGGAGATTAGCTTGTGTGGCTCATGTCCCAAAAGTCAATCAGTTGTTAACTAAGAGTGTAAAAATAGTTTACCATCATTAGGTGTCAATCGTCATATTTTTTTTTACTGCAAAGTTTTATTATTACAGTAAATTAAATCCCAAAAATAAAATAACTGAAAAAGTACAAAGAAAAAAAAACTAGCTACTGTAACATTTTATTTACAATATTTTTTTTATTTTTTATTTCATTTACTTTGTGTATATTTGTTATACCAAGTTTTCAAAAGCCATATGCTCATATATATTTCAAAAGAAATATGTTCATTACTGAAATCTGACTTGTGTCAGTCTGACATCCCCATTGACCATGAGGTGATCCACTCTTTGGACAGGGTGGATGCGGTGGGAGAATTCTGTGTAGTGCTGGTTGTTAACAGCAATCTGAAAAAGTTTTTATTACATAATCGTGTTAATCCAGATGAGAGACATTTCAACTTAATTTTGATTTTTAAATACTTTTACCCTCTCGTTTATCGGAACACTTTTACAATGATGTTGGCAATTTTGTTGGATGAAAAATAATAGCTTATATGACTTTATTATTTTTTTTTTTAATATGAGACTAAAATTTACTCAACAATAATTTAGATATATAATTATGATGTGAAGCAAAATATTGTATAGACTCAAGATCATTTGGCCAAATTTTAAAATCCTACTCTATTAATATGGGGTGCTCAACATATAAATAAAGTTAGTCCCATGCTGTGACTTTATTGAAACTTAAACTAAAAGGATCAGCTATGCAAACATTTTCATCCTTATAATATAAATTAAATTAAAATTTGTTACAAAAAATGTTTGCCACAATAAGAAAACAATCTTGATAATTTACACCTCCATGTACCCACATTTTGAAATGACCATAGTTAAACAATTTACCTTAAAGCATCCTGGCTCTACGAGAATCATCAATTCAAAATTAGTATTGGCATAGAAGGGGAAGTAATTCTGGTGGCGCTCTTCATGCCCGAAGGTACCATTTTGTTTGTGTGTTCTGACAACCTGGTTTCTGTCACTACCAAACACAAATCGGGCATCAAAATGTAGAGCTAAGTCAGAGCCTTCATAAGGACCGCAGGCCAGATTGACGTTGAACCTGTGAATTCAAATGTACAAATTGACAATGGTACTTACAGACAGGATTTCTTATTTTCTGCAAATTTAAGTATTATAAAAAATGTATGTCTATTTTAATGTAGGCCCTATAGGTTTATTATTAAAGTGAGTGTATCAGTAACATTTAAGTTACTTTTATAATCAGTACTATTTTTAATTTTTTAAAAGTGTCAACACAGACTTAGACTTGTGGAGACGATAAGCTAAACAAAGTCTAGAGGTCCCCTACCACTACAAATCAGCTGGTAAAAGACTTTTAAAATATACAGCTATCAGACTGTGAGGCCCCAAGCTGTAGCTTATTTGGCTTATAGGTCAATCCACCAATGCCACTGACTAACAGAGCTATAGATATTGATTGATCTACCAACCCAAATAACATATATTTCTTAAAATAAAAGTCTATGGTTTTTAACTTTCAAATTATTTCTATAATTAAGAGCCATGAGCCATCCAAATATCAAATTTAAAAAGTCAAATTCTCTCTCACCTCCTGCCTGTTTCACCAGTAAATTTTGAGACACACCCCGCCTCCCAGGCATGCATACAAATGAGAATTTTCACTCTCTCCCCCACCAATAAGCAGATCTTTTATTTTTTTTATAGATTCCTTGATAATTAAATGAAATCAACGTATACCTTGTTAAAAATTATGTCATGGGTTTTCTCCCATATCTAGCATAGCTAACACATCTTTGGTTCACCCCCACTTTTGTTATCACTGTCATTGTGTCTTGTACCAACACTCCAAATGGGGTGAAGTTTGAAAAAAAGTCATAAACTTATGATTCTCCCTTCCACACACAACTACTATATATAATTGGTAATAAAAATCAATAAAAGAATACCCTTGCTTGTAAACCCCTAGATACCCCATAAACACCCTTTATGCATGCCTCTGAACTATGTGATCAGTCTAATGTATTATTTTTTTTAAAGCAAATAAATAAAGCTTTATTTAAAATGCATGCACCAAAATAAAAATTGCACAGAAAACCTTCCTTTAATAGATGTTTGACAAAGCATCCCTCTGAATAAAAAGCCTTATTACAAATGTGTACAACCAAACATAACTTAACGTGAACATCCCTTGAAGCCATTTAAAAATAATATTTTTAAAAATCTTAACCCTCTAAAGTTAACGATTTTTTAAACTACATCTTTTGGGATTAGCGGATTATGACCAATCTTTCCAGGAGCCACTTTAAGCTTTGGAGGAATGACCATGTCAAATTTGGTTGCTACCCATGGTTGAGTTTTCTTGTCATTCATCGACCCATTTAAAAATATACAAACAAGCAAAATTTGTCACATTGGGCATGTACATTCATAATTGTATGAATACATTTAGCCAAGACCCCCCATCACCATATGCAAAATCTCAACCCCCCCTCAGAGCGCACATAATAATATATGGATGGCGCCTAAGGAAAGAATTGCAACACTGTGTTACAGTTTTAAAAATGTCACCAAACATTTTGATAGTAAAAGCCCCATTGATTTTGCAAACTCCAAGAGAAAAGTTATACTTCCAAGTAAGGTTTAAATAATTAAGTGTAACTTAATAGACATTAAAAGACAGAATATAAACAACTGAACAGGCAAGGTTTGTAAGTCTCTCTACCTGGTTGGGTTAGGAAATGGCACCCCTGTAATGTAGATTATCTTTCCTGGATACAGACCACCAGAGATTGGTGTTGTGAAAGGAACAGGCTATTTAAAGAGAAGAGAACAATTGGATATAACATTTACCAAGCTGAGAATGTATCTTTAAAATTATCTCTGGTTGGTAGTTATAATAACTTAAACATTTGTCATAATGTATAGCATTTATATCATTTTTTCCCTTGCACACTACAAAATTAATTGAAAAATTTTACTGGTTAGCAATTCAATCAACATTTTTTCCACTCGTCCCAATATTCATATATGATAAGTCCATTTACACCATTTTAACACTTGAGCCACATTTGTAACAGCCCTTAATTTATCACAGAAAGGAGATGACATTAGTGTAGAAAAATCATTTAATGACAAAATATATAATTTTTTTAAAATAATTATTTTAAGATTGAAAATTGAAACTTACTGGGTTGAATATGGGTCCACCTGGACCTGGATACTGAGAAATAAATAAACAATTATAGATATTAAAAAATTTGAAGCTTATATAGTGCTATAAATTTAATTCTAATTATTAAACAATAAATAAAAGCAAAACATGAAACCACTCAACACCCACCATCTCATTGTGTAATTCTTATCCATCAATTAAAACATTTTTTCTTTGGATTCATTATATGATTTATAAAATCCTGTAGGCTTTCACTAAACTATATATTTATCTAACTCACTGAAGGCACTGGTGGGTAGCTGGGCCCTGTGGGGTACTGAAAACATGAAAAACAATATAATTGTTTATTCAATGCAGTCTTTTGTTAGGTGATAGTCACAAACTTTCACAGTTCCGTGGGTCAGCAGATGAAGTGATCATCACCTTCTTGGGAACTTTTTAATTCCATAGATGCGATGATGAATAGATTTTGTGTAGAGCAAATGATGGACTGCGAGGGGTAAGTTCTCTCAGCTCGTTAGGCAATAATTGTATCATAAGGACCCACCTGTTAACCTTTTTGCCTTTCAACGAATGGCATATTTTTCAAGTTAATTACAATGTAGTCTCATTTAACAATCATTTGTTTAATGTACACTTATTTCCAATTCCAAATTGAAATACAGTAGAGCATCAACTTTCTTATCTTATTAGGACCAGTGTTGGTTTGCATAACCTATTTTTGAAAGAACTCAACTCTCCCACAGAAAGGTTGGAAAACAGAAGTTAACATATAGAATACTATATCCTGTTACTCTAAGCTACACACTGTGTATTAACCATACCACACAGTATGGAGAGGTCAGCTGATTGATGTCAGACCAGGACTGGATTTATTTTTCATCAAAAGGGTTTGTTTCCAAATAAGATGACTAATTAATTTTTCTAAACAGACCTAAATCGTTCTATATATATTTTTTAAGTCTGAAGATCGCAGTTCCCACAGGTTCATGAAGGAAAATGATATTTATTTTCTGAGGGAAAAGAGTAAAATGGGTTGGTCAATATCATTTCCGCTTTCATATCATTTGTGGTTTTCATGGTTTGGCTAAGTTAACACGAATCAGATGACGTTACCATGAATTGAGAGGAAAGAAATTATTCAGAGTGAAAGCATAAATTCTATTTTAAAAACTGTATTATTGGGTCTGTTTTAATTAACGCTACTTAGCTTACTGGAAAAGTGTTTAGAAACAACAAATATGATTTTGGAACCAACCGAAATAGGTAAAAGTAGGCGGCAACCAGGGGCAAGCTATTCTGTTTTAAAAAAATTTGAGCGTAGCCCATAGTCAGTATCTAGATTTAACCCAGATTGTGTGACAAGAGTTGCTATTGTCATTCAGTGTATAGCCAAAGCTTCATGATAAACTATAATAATAAATAAAAAAAGATAAGGAAAGTTCGGATAACTGGCAGTTAGTATAATCTGAAGTCAGATAATTGACACTCTACGACATACTTTTTTTTTAAAGTTTTGAAGTTTATAATAAAATTAAAATAAAATGTATATAGCATGGTATATCAAGAATATGTTGTTACTCAAAACAATAACATTATAAAAGTATATATGTAATCTGAACTTACTGCTGGAGCTGGAGGCTGATAACTTGGGACAGATGGAAACTGTGGAATTAATTGTTTTTTTTACAAAAATAATCAAAGACTTATAAACTGGTAAAAAGCAAGTTATAATCATTAATCAAATAATTATGTTACACAACTTTTTTTCCGAATGGGACATAACTATACAAAGTATAATGCACAAATATAGTCATTTTAAAAACTTTTTACCTCCCTTGACCAGAGCATTACATTTTTTTTTTAAATTTTAATTTTTGTTTAGAAAGTAGAAATGAAAGTTCAATAAGTTGAATAAATCTATATTTGTTTAACTTTTTTAAAATACTTTTTTTCTGTAAGTTGGAATCAGGGGAGGGGGTTCATGGAAATTCAGAGACTCAGGGAGATGTAATATTCATGCTACCAGTCTAAGTGTGACCATTATTTTCTTTGTTTTCTCTTTTTTAAAACCTCTTGATGTCATATTATCTGTTACATACTAACTTGAACAAAATATCAGTAAGTATGCCTACCACTTACAAGTAAATGAGCAGGAGCAGCGTTTCTTAAGCCTAATTAGTTAAACAATAAATTATAATTTGGTGAAACAATTTAAGGTGAGACCGATTTATGATAATTTGTCCTTTTAAATTTTAGCCTAGCAGTCAGCATCATAAACAATCCAATAGTTAGGTCTAACAAATCCAAAAGTTAGGCATGATACATCCTTAACATGAGGATTTTCATTAAATCAAGAGATTACTAGTCAAGCTTAACCGATTTAAAAAAAAAAAAAATTAACATTAATACAGGAGACAAACAACAGAAATGCTTGTTTAGTATAAGATGTCATATAAATTTAGTTAATTGTTAAACTTACAGAAGAATGTCCACCTCGGAATTGTATGAAGGTGATTGTCACATCTCCATCTATGAAAATATATTGAACCGTTTCTTTGGGGAGGCGGTGATGGAAATCACAAAAATGATGATGATTGACAGTCACCTGAGGAATATAATGTTTTTAATTTCTCGGTGTTAGTTCCTCTCACACATTTTAGAGCATAATGAAACAAAATATTTCCATAATTGTCTCCTTGGCTGCCTCTTCTTTATCGGAATATTAAATGTTAACTTTCGTTTTTAAAGATATATACATTTTTTTCTCTCCAAGTATTCCAAGAACTTCCCAGGTTTACTCTTTCTCTTGGATGTCAACCTGTGTTTAGCCATTTTAGCTGTGTAGGTCTCAATTCTGCAACATTGTTTAGGATATGCAATGGTATGCATTCTGATGCAGCATCGGTCATTTGCAAACTCTGTATTCAGCTTAATTTTTTTCTTAAGACTTCTCTGATCATTAAATCATTACCCAGTTCATTGTTAATGAAATATGTGATGGAATATAATGTTTTTAACATTTTCTTCATATGTCAGGTGTAATTGGCAGTAGATTTGATGATGCTTGAGTTTTAGTTAACCTGTGCACTGCAAATGATATATTTGATATATTGCCAAGAAGGCCAATGAATTTAACTGTGGAATTTAGAATAATTTTGCTATGTATGGGTCTATGTCTTTAGAAATAGAAATCAAATCTTTATTTAAATCAGCCTTCATTTGAATATGGAAATAAGTTCTTGCTGTGTATCCGGCAGTTTTTTTATGATTAGTAGAGGTGGAAAGAGCCAGAATGATACACGAAATCGACATCAAAATGCACACAAAGAAAGCTGTAAAATAAGTGATCCTTAGAAAGTTTAACTATCATGAAATAAAAATAAAACAACAAATTAATTCCTTTTTCTATCATAAACATATAATAAATCAACGTCCAAGATGACCAAGTTGTCCGTAAAGATGGTCACTAAAATGTGTTAAATTAAAATATAATTAATTATTTCATCAACAAATTTAAGTTTTATATCATATTTTCTAATAATTGTCTTATTTTAATCATATACCTTGTAACCATGGTGCTCCACTTTCAAGTGCACTTCAAATGTATGACCTCTGCGGAAAGGCATCCCACCAGATGTTTCTTCTGTTCCCCAGTTGCCAAACTGTTTATGATTCCGGACCACCTTGCCGTTATTAAATCTCGGGTTGAAATGGAGTGCGCAGTCATGGTCAAGATTGGGTCCTGAGCAAAGGTTGATGCTGAACCTGGGGAGTTCCATGGCAAAATAAGTTATAATGATGTGATTGGTAACCTAGCATGACATTCTAATTCAAAATTAATTGCAAATACGAATGAACCATTGCAAGGGTAAAAAAAAATAGTCTAAAAACCCTAGAAACCCTTTTGTTAGTTAGTTTCAGTGAAGATGATTGTATGATATTGTTGGGTACAGTTTGTAAAACCAGGGCTGGCCCACTAACTAAGACACATTTTCTGGTGGGGCTGTGAGCTTGCCCTATTAAAACCCCGGCTTAAACATGGGCAACAAGGGTTGCTTTTTGTTTTTTTTACAATGCAGCGCCAACAGCAAGGTCAGATTTTGAAAAAGTGGCAGACAGATCTATTTTTAGAAATCATAAAGCCACTCTCTTCCATAGACCATTTTGATACCAGTTTGTTTCCAGCACATGGACATACCCCTCACAATGCAACATGATGCAGTTTTTTTTGTTGCCCACTACTCTATATTGATAACAGTGTAATTTAAATACTAGCAATACAGTGACAACTACCCGTTACCATTCACTTAACAACAACCACTCCCCATTCACTTAACAACCACCTCTCTCCATTCACTTAACAACAACCCTCCCCATCCACTTAACAGACACCCCCCCCCCCACTTACTTAACAACCACCCCTCCTCATTCACTTACCAACCAAAGTACGTTGATATTTTCACCACACTAAAATATTTTTTGTTTGTTATTGCTGAGATAAATAATGTCTTCCCACCTGTCAAAATTAGGGTGTGTCCTCCCAGAGATTACAACGTCTGTTCCCACCTGAATACCACCTGGTATTAGGCCGGTGTAGGGAAGGATGATCTGAGGATGCAAACACACATACTAATAGCTCATCAATAATAGATACTAAAAAATCTAGAGGAGACAGGTGAGTGCTAGCAGTGTCCCTGATTTCCCTGATAATCCTAATGTAACTAAAACGTCCATATGCTGCAATATGCATACATTTAAGAATGATCCATACATTGATCGTGTGCCCACAAAATATAAAAGTAAAAAGAGGAAGAAATACCCGGATGCTTTGTTACCATAAATTTGTTGTAGGATAAAACAATCTGTGTTTATGATTACAATGCTGATTAGTCAGATGATGACAGATGTCAACTCAGTAATCGAGAATTGTGTAAATCCTTTCACAGATCAACGAAGACATTTCACTAGATAACAAGACTCGCTCATTGTAGCAGCTGGGTACATTTCTGGCAAACATACTATACATGTTGGGTTGGAGAGTAATTAAATCTGTACTGTTCTTAACAAGATAAATAAGATCTTCCTGTCTCTGAGAGTCCTAGTCAACTCAGGGGGCATAACTCCCATCATTTCAAAGCCAAACTCTTGCTATATTACTTGATTTATTGTTTTTATGGATTTAAGATTATTACTCAATATTTTAAGAATATGTACTTGAAAAATTATAAACAACCAGTCTGTTGTTGTTATTCAATCTGATAATGTTTCCTTTCAAAAGTCTAATATGAGAGCCAATATACAACAAGACTGTGACACTATGGCATTGAAAGCTCTTCACCGTAAAGCAGGAAACTTGATATCCTTTCAACCTTTTCACCCTCCCAGCTTTCCTCCAAAACACACTGAGGTTGGGTGGTGGGGTGGGCTGTCTGGTATTTCCTACTGTCAAGGATATAAAAGGGGACCCTAACTGCATAAACGGACTCTGATCCTTCTTATGCGTATTGGTTCCCAGTCTGCCTTACCTATTCAGCAAAGAAAGGGCCAAACAGATATTCTCTGATTCAGCTACAGCCTTTGTTAACGTTGTAAATTTTACATTCACAAGTTTAATAAATAAATAACAGAACTGTGCTAAACTCCTATGATGGCTCATTCCTTTAAATGGCTCCCTGTGATATTAAGGAGATCCCTCTTAAAACGTATACAAATTATTATTTAACTTCCTTCTTTTAAATAATGTCCTCGAAATAATATTCTTTTGGCCATAATTCAATGTGCCTTGTAAAAATGTCTTCTTTAGAATTCACACAAAACCACTCCCCCACCCCACACCCACCCTCCCCGCAAAAAAAAAATTGTGTCAAATTTCACATGAATATATCTAACCATGTTAAGGTATGTGGTTACACAATAGATATCCTTCCTTCCCTTTAAGAGCCTCAGTGCTACCGCCCCCCCCCCAGCCCAATCACAATAATCAAAACTAAAAAAAAATTGTGTCAAATTTCACATGAATATATCTAACCATGTTAATGTATGTGGTTACACAATAGATATCCTTCCTTCCCTTTAAGAGCCTCAGTGCTACCGCCCCCCCCCCAGCCCAATAAAAATAATCAAAACGGCGTAGTGCATTGGACAAAGGCAGAATGGAAGCGGGTCTTTGGTGTCCTTGTTCCGATTCCAAGATGCCTGTACCAAGAGCTAGAACTAAATGTATTTGACAGCCCATATTTACAAACTAAATGTATTTGACAGCCCATATTTACAAACTAAATGTATTTGACAGCCCATATTTACAAACTAAATGTATTTGACAGCCCATATTTACAAACTAATTGTATGTGGTAGCCCAGAGTTACGAACTAAATGTATTTGACAGCCCATATTTACAAACTAAATGTATTTGACAGCCCATATTTACGAACTAAATGTTTTTGACAGCCCATATTTACGAACTAAATGTAAGTAACAGCCCACAGTTACGAACTAAATGTATGTGACAATGCTTATAATATATTATTGTTATTAGGCCAGAGTAGGCCATTGTCTCAATGTTAGGCAGCCCGCCCCCTGACCTAAATCCCAAGTGCACCTCGCTTATCAGTCATCTCTCGACATGACTGAACACTCTCAAGAATGAAATCGATGAATATGAAATTTACTTACGTTGTTGCCCATGGCTTCGTACACACCTGGTCCCTTCTGCTGTAAAGCTGAGGACAGGAAAGCATACATCTATAGCTTCCTATACCATATAAAGTTTACTATCAGCCAACATACATGGTGTCTACCAAGTAGGCCTATCAATAAAATACTAACTAGGCTCCAATCTTGAGCCGTTACAGATAACAGAAGCTGCTGAGCGTTCGACAAGTCATCGGTCAATGAAATATTGTTATGTCTGTCTTCTATTCAGTACACCCCAACCCCAGGGTCATGCAGCGCATGCTTGGGGCCTTGAGCAAATCCATATTTTGGGACCCCCATAAATGTCAAAATAAATGTACTCTATAAAAAAAAATAATAATAATACGCCACAGAGTGATTTACTCGTTTGCCATGGCCTCCTCACTGCCCCGGCCCTCCCCAACCCAGTGGCGTCTCTAGGGTTGGTGCCGCCACCTCCCCAAACCCAGTGGCGTATCTAGGGTTGCCCCCCCCCTCGCATCTCCCTCCCTACGTCACTTGAGAAACTAGCCATTCCTCCACCAGGAATCAATGCCTGTAATATCGATTCTAGGAAATGTTCAATAGGATAATAAGCTGTAGACTTTTCGCAAGACTTGAAGCTTCAACATATAACAGTGTAGAAACCACACGCACGCACACGCTCACACAGAAACAAACACACACACACACAGAGACGCAAACACACACCCACACAAGAAAATGCCTGTTCATTGGGCAGGATGTAAGGAATTTTCTGCGCATGATACTTAACTTATCGCCACTGACTGAATACCCAATCAATGGCCACTAACTGAATACCCAACCATTCGCCACTAACTGAATACCCAACCAATCGCCACTGACTGAATACCCAACCAATCGCCACTGACTGAATACCCAACCAATCACCACTGACTGAATACCCAACCAATCGCCACTGACTGAATACCCAACCAATCGCCACTGACTGAATACCCAACCAATCGCCACTGATTAGACCCATCCAATATATCAAGCTGTTTTACCATTGCGTTTTCGGGAAGGAGTATCTGACGCTTAATGCAATTTGTGTATAGAGATAGTCTTGGTGTGTCTTGGTGTGTGTATGCATTGAGGGAGATAGCTCTAGAGAAAAGTATAGGAATTTACATAAAATGACCCGGAGGTGGGGGCGCCAAATGTAAGAAAAAATATATTTCATTGCGTATTTTTTGAGACAACACAATTCTTTTGAACATTCCGTCGGTCCACCCACAGCACTGGAAGCAACTCCCCCCCCCCCACTCCGCCCTTTTCCCCCCTAAAACATTGCAGCTGAACGTGATACAGCATCAATTCTAAGAATTGACCCAGTCCTGTTCCAGATACAATAATCGAACCAAGGGAAGTAATGCATAGTTGCAAAGGGCAAACTTAAAGACGAACAAGAGAAGTTGGTAAATTCTCCGAAGACATCGCTCGTTGAAACTGATGGAAGTTAGGCAAAATGAAACTGATGGAGGTTGGGCAAAATGAAACTGATAGTACGCCTAAATGTGGTGCATGGCATTGGGTGTGGTGCATGGCATTGGGTGTGGTGCATGGCATTGGGTGTGGTGCATGGCATTGGGTGTGGTGCATGGCATTGGGTGTGGTGCATGGCATTGGGTGTGGTGTGACCGTCTATTAATCAGAAAAACTCTCGTGGATTGATCTCACGCAGATTTAATCGGAAAAGAAACATGGCGTCTAATTAGTTAGAAATATCAGGACATTAAAATACTGAGGTCAACAAGTGTCGGTCTATGTTCAACCCCAATATAAAACCCTGTCTGTGTCGGTCTATGTTCAACCCAAATATAAAACCCTGTATGTGTCGGTCTATGTTCAACCCCAATATAAAACCCTGTATGTGTCGGTCTATGTTCAACCCCAATATAAAACCCTGTATGAGTCAGTGTATGTTCAACCCCAATATAAAAACCCTGTCTGTGTCGGTCTATGTTCAACCCCAATCCCAATATAAAACCCTGTCTGTGTCGGTCTATGTTCAACCCCAATCCCAATATAAAACCCTGTCTGTGTCGGTCTATGTTCAACCCCAATATAAAACCCTGTCTGTGTCGGTCTATGTTCAACCCCAATATAAAACCCTGTATGTGTCGGTCTATGTTTAACCCCAATATAAAACCCTGTATGTGTCGGTCTATGTTCAACCCCAATATAAAACCCTGTATGTGTCGGTCTATGTTCAACCCCAATTTAAAACCCTGTATGTGTCAGTGTATGTTCAACCCCAATATAAAAACCCTGTATGTGTCGGTCTATGTTCAACCCCAATATAAAACCCTGTCTGTGTCGGTCTATGTTCAACCCCAATATAAAACCCTGTATGTGTCGGTCTATGTTCAACCCCAATATAAAACCCTGTATGAGTCAGTGTATGTTCAACCCCAATATAAAAACCCTGTATGTGTCGGTCTATGTTCAACCCCAATATAAAACCCTGTCTGTGTCGGTCTATGTTCAACCCCAATCCCAATATAAAACCCTGTCTGTGTCGGTATATGTTCAACCCCAATATAAAACCCTGTCTGTGTCGGTCTATGTTCAACCCCAAAATAAAACCCTGTATGTGTCGGTCTATGTTTAACCCCAATATAAAACCCTGTATGTGTCGGTCTATGTTCAACCCCAATATAAAACCCTGTATGTGTCGGTTTATGTTCAACCCCAATATAAAACCCTGTATGTGTCAGTGTATGTTCAACCCCAATATAAAAACCCTGTATGTGTCGGTCTATGTTCAACCCCAATATAAAACCCTGTCTGTGTCGGTCTATGTTGAACCCCAATATAAAACCCTGTCTGTGTCGGTCTATGTTCAACCCCAATATAAAAACCCTGTATGTGTCGGTCTATGTTCAACTCCAATAGAAAACCCTGCCTGCATTTCTCCATAAACATTATTTAATTAGCAACGATTATTCTTGAGTTTTAAAAAAATATTAAAAGTAAGCCGATCAAAATGAAGAATACTGTAAAACTAGCAGAATAACTATGAGAAAATTGTTTTCTCATTTCCTTTTCTTTTTTTTTCTAACCTGATTGCAGTCTATCTCCCTTATTGCCATTCAAAACAGAGAATAATACCGACTTTTAATAGAATCCTGTCCAAAATTGATTCACATACTAAACACAAAAATCCACATCCCACCCACCCCCTGCCCCAACCTAGGAAAAAAATGGAATGAAAACGATAATAACTTTATTTTAATCTGAAGGAAGTCGTTGATTTTTTTTTTTTTTAAATTTTTTGTTGTTGTTTTTTTTTTTGTTAAGGGTCACAATGTGGGAATACAGTTTGGCACCAATAGCCTCGCAGGATTAGCCGTAATTGTATCAATGTCATATCGCCTACGGGACTCCATATCTGGGTTTGAATTAAGTGAAAAAAAATGGAATGAAAACTATTATAACTTTTTTTTAATTTGAAGGAATTCGTTGATTTTTTTTTTTTTAAATTTTTTGTTGTTGTTTTTTTTTTTGTTAAGGGTCACAATGTGAGAATACAGTTTGGCACCAATAGCCTCGCAGGATTAGCCGTAATTGTATCAATGTCATATCGCCTACGGGACTCCATATCTGGGTTTGAATTAAGATTTTTCCTTCTCTCAAATGAGTTGCCATCAAAATATACCGAGTCCCATCCATCCCGATAGCTGGTGATTTTTGTTTTGTTTTTTTTATATTTTTTTTGTTTTGTTTTGCTAGGCTAGGCTTCTTCTAGAGATTGAACTCCAAACCAAAATCTTGGACTTGACTCAGTTGAGTCCGCACAGCCATCCAGCCACCAACTAGTATATGATTATGAAGACGTCTAACAGATGGTAGATGCAGCAGAGAGTACGGTATCACATATAGCTTGTTTAATATGGATCGTTTGAAGGACCTTCTAGTTCAAGTTTAAGCAAAAGTGAATAATTTGTGAATTATTAGTGAATTATTAGGGAATTATTAGGGAATTATTAGTTAATTATTTGTGAATTATTTGTGAATTGTTTGTGAATTGTTTGCCATGATCATAAAATCTGGTTATGAAACATCCTCAATGGGTTACATTTATCTATGCAGGGCCGTGCCAAGCTAAAGCTGCGCTCGGGGCAATATTTGAATTTGGCGCCCCGCCCAATAGATTTGTGTATTGTAAGCATATATACACAGAATACTTTTCATTAATAACAATTTTTTATGCCCCTCACCCCTCAAAAAAAATTTATAGAGGACGTAAAAATCTGTGTCTTTATCAAGGATTTTCCGGAAAAACTCTGGAAAGGTGAGGGGGGTGGGGTGGGTGGAGTTGTTGTTCTGACACCCTTAGCCCAGGCTGAGTTGTCCAACGAAAAATGAACACTGTCAGGAAGTAATATGCATTGGACACTGTCAGGAAATAGTATGTAATGTACACTTTAATAATATATACGCTGGGAACATATTTCGTGCATTTTGAGAAGCCCTGTACACATAGGCCTTAAGTGATTACCCCAGTTTTAATGATTGAAGTAAGAAATATATATATTTTTTTTTTAAACTGCCTTGATTCGATACAATAGCAGTAGTCTATAGGCCAACATTCAAGGCGAGCTGATAACATATCGATACCGTAACCGCAGTCTGTAGGCCAGCATTCAAGGCGAGCTGATAACATATCAGACCTCAGTGAGGAGATTTCATGGGCGTCTGTTTACCCATTACACCCCCAACCCCCAAAAAGACAAAGACATAATTACAAGGGGACTTCTCAAATGTTGGTCGGCATCAGAGGTTTGAAACATAATAGATTATGTGATTTCGTTTTTTATAGAAACAAATGTTTCCCTGCATATCATGTATTTATTTATCAGATGTAACCTGGTGTTACACATAAGATATAACCTGGTGTTATACATAAGATGTAACCTGATCCTCGACATAAAATATAACCTGGTGTTACACATAAGATGTAACCTGGTCTTCTACATAAGATATAACCTGATGTTCTACATAAGCTATAACCTGGTGTTATCCATAAGAAATAACCTGATGTTGTACATAAGATATAACCTGGTGTTATACATAAGATATAACCTGGTCTTCTACATAAGATATAACCTGATGTTCTACATAAGCTATAACCTGGTGTTATCCACAAGAAATAACCTGATGTTGTACATAAGATATAAC